GGCCACCATCAGCGCGCGGCAGCACTCAGCCTGTGTCTCCAGCCGAATCCAACAAAGACAAGACCACGAGGTGAGGCTGGAGACCGGTGGCTTTCTGACCATGCTGTTGCTCGGAAACATCCTACCAGGGTAGGGAAGTCAGCATTTTTGTTCCCGTCACACCTGCCAAAAGTCTCTTGTGATTATTTCGAGCAGCGTGTCCGTTGTGGGCCGCATAGTGCAGCGCGGTCCACCCATGCTTGAAAGTCTTCGCCGCCACGACTTCAAGCGGCACCTGCACAAAGCTTCAGGGCTGCGACCCTACAGGAACAACAACAGCCTTTAAAAACACATGCTGGCTGCTTGAAACATCGTTTGCATGAGCTTAGACTAGCAGACGTCGCCATGGCAGCATGTAAAGTCCAGCATCTTCGGTGAACCCTTTGACTCCGCGCAAAGTAGATACCCTGTAAAGCTCAAGCACCTCGCGTGCATTTCGGCCAATTCCCAGCAGCTCATTCAGGCAGCTGTGGTGTCCTACATACCAAAACGGTTGGCGCAGCAAGCGAGGGAGGCTCCGGGAAAGTTTATTGACTACGCAAACTCAGGTCCAAGCAGGAAACTCTGGTGCCCAGGAGCGTATGCTGAAGCACTCGTGGCGTCAGCTCAGACCCCCATGGCAAGCAGATCTTAAATCTAAAAAGGTCCTTCAGCAGCTGCACAGTGAATTGCTGTTTGGCCTTGGGTTGTAAAACCGTGCTCTGCCTGCCACAAGTCAAACCAGACAAGCCTGTTTTTCCGACGGGCGGCCCGCATTGTCTTGCAACCCGACCAGGCCGGGAGCCACTCGTAGTAGCTCCATGAGGCAGTAGGCCCTGCCAGGCCATCACTTTCCCAACGAAAGATCACTTCCCCAACGAAGACTGCCTTCATGTAGGGAGGGAAGCACCACGCCCCAACAAGAAACCTCTCTTTGCATTCGCGCAGGTTCAATGCCAATGACCCACCTCCACAACCGCTAGAGACAGAACTTGTCGTGTTAAGGACGACGACCTTGCAAACTACAGTAGCACTAGAACCTTGAACCCTGAAATAGTACCTGCTCTCACCCTGATGAGAACAGAATCACCACCACCAGGTCCAGAACCTCTCCCTCAGGCAGAAGTTGCTTGGCCTCCCCATTACTGCGGCATCATGGAGTGCGGTTTGACCGCGCTTCCCGCAGTACCTGGTCTTGCAGCACGGACGACAAGGAAAAACATAAGGCAAGATAAAGATCATACATTGGGATCTTCCCCCCTACACTAACAGTCCCTAATCGGGATGATAGCAGGGGGTACTATTCCCTATTAAAGGACTGTTGGTATAAGGGAGATGATCCCAGATCATACGGTGGGAGCCCCTAAGTTTCCCCGAATGGATGCAGCACGGCGGCGTTGGGTCAGCCCCCAGCTCTATAAGCCGATCAAGCTCGGATTTCCGATCGTCCTTTGCAGGAAGACACAACCAGTCAACTTACTTCAAACATATACATATATATATATGCATATACATCTTTACGTTGTTAAGATAGTTGTATCTGTGTAGTTGCGTGTATGTATATGTATTTATGTATATATGTATAGGTATATATGTATATATGTATATATGTATATATGTATATATCTATATATGTATATATGTATATACGTATATATGTATATACGTATATATGTATATATGTATATATGTATATATGTATATATGTATGTTTTGGTCTTTATATGTATGTTGCTGTCTTGAAGTAGCTAGTTCGTGACTTGTCTCAGTTACAATTGCTTTGTAATTAGGTATGTAATGTACACATACATTCCATACATACTTGTATATATAGTCATAAGTTATGCAATGTACACATACATTCCGTGCATATTTGTATATATAGTCATCATTTTCAGTCGTAGTGATCCTCTAACACGTTTTTTTTAATGGGAACTTGGCTACAGACCTGATGATGACTTGGCGTCTTGCTTGGCTATTATTCTGCTCCGACTTGGCATCTTACTTGGCATCTTGCTTGTCCCTTATCCCTGCAAGAGGGCCTAGTTGAGAGGCACGAGCCTACGAGCCCAGCCATGCGGCATGGACTGTCACAACCCAAGAAAGTGGCAGGACTCTGGTCTACGAGACACCTCTTGGGGTGCAAAGGAAGTCCTGATTCTCTGGCCCCCCCTAAATGTCCCTAAACGCCAAGTGCTAGGAGGGCACGCTGACACTGTTGGAGGAAAGGTCTCGTTCAAAAGGCCAACTTCTGAGGCTGACTTTCTGAAGGTGACGCGGAAACTAAGTTAAACGGATGGATCAAAATTCGATGGATGGATTGATCGACCAAAATAGGAATGAGGAATGAGGAGGCGTGGAAAGAGGAGGAAGAAGGCGCCGGCACGGGTACCCGCGGACGGGGTCCCGAGCCAGGACACCAAGAGGAGCAGAGCGAAGTGCTCGGAGGCTTCAGATGCTAGGTGCTGTGTTTTTACAGCGCTTGGTTACTTTCTCGCGTGGGGCTACTTGTCGCTTTTCCAGGGCTTGTGTGAAATTGCCAAGTAACCGAGGCCCGCAGTCAGGAACGGAATTTTATGAATATGACATGTGCAGAAAATAGTGTAGTCAAATGAAGAAAATAAGTGTAGGCAAGAACACGAGCAAAAGTAAACAAGTAAAGAAGATAAAGTAGACAGGTAAAGAAGACAAGTATCGTCTTCTTGGGACAAAAAGATGCAATGGCCAACCCTCCTCTAAAGAAGGCCTGAGGTGCATAGTAACATCATCACGACTCATCACATCATCGCCCAGGCTTATGTCAACAGCCCTCAGAAGACCTCATAGAATCCACGAAAACCCTGAACCGAAAGACACCAATTTGCCGAGCTCTTTTGGTCCACCCTGGCCTTGACAGCTCTAAGCAGGGCCTCGCCATGTTCCACTCTAACCTCATGAGCCATTGCATATGCCCTGGTTTGCAGAGGTTGATTCTAGCAGATATGTGCAGATTGTGTTTGGCCTGAAGCAAGCAGCGCAAAATGCGAACCAGGTCACGTCGCTTTTCGGCAGCACATCCACCATACTCCAAGCCCTTCAAAAACACATGCACGTCTCTTCCATGTTCGCTGGCAGCCATTTAAACTCGTGCCACCTGTGTGACAGCAAGGCAACAGCAGAAAGGCAGCAGCAACATGCAGAAACATCAGAAAGGAATCTGAAGGTTTTGCATTGTAAGCATGCTCAATTCGCTTTGCCTGTGGAGGCGCCACTGCTCCGAAAGGCGACGGGTGGCACAGGTCCCCAGCAAACTTCTGAGTCGTCTACCTATGTCTGCGTACCTCGACTTTTCTGTCGATATTTGACACTGAGCCTTTCTGCTGAGAATTGCCGGTGCCTTAGGACAACTAACTACAGTATGATGCTTCACATCCTTCCGCATGTTCCCAACCATGCTACCTGGAAGCCAAAGCACGCAGGACCTGCATTTCCACTGCTGCTGGCAACTTGGGTTGTTGTCATAGCCTGCCAGGGTCTCTGCAACCCATCAGTACATCATCCGTACACCATCGCAATACCTGTTAAAAGCATCGCTGCCCACGTGCCCAAAACGCCTGTGGACAGGGTGGCTGAGCATGTTCTGGGGTGTAACTGCCAGCCAGCAGCGTCGCCTTAATCGAGGCTTCATGACAAGCTTCTCTTTTCTGCTTTCTCAGCAGAAGTATCCAAGAACATGAAAGAAGGCAGAGTGGCGGAGCCAAGTCAACAGCACGACGGTAACCTCCGACACACTGAGCACACCTGCGGCCAGCCATGTGATGGGCGAGTTGCTTGTCACTGCTTGTCCTTGCTCCGCTGCTGCAAAAACTTGTCGAGAGAGGCGTGATGTTGCCCTACCTGGCCTACATGCTCGAAACGGAACTCAATCAGCAAGGACAAAAAAAAAACGGAACAGAAAGAGCAAGCGACAGAGAAGATGGAAAGATGCACATACATGTGTGCATATACATATATGTCTACATATATACACACGCGAATAGACTCGTTTAGAGACCGGCTTGACACAAGGCCTGCGCCGGTGCGAAGCTCAGCCAACAACTGGTTCCAGAACCTCGGAAGCGCAAGCGGAACAACCGGCTACGAACTGAAAAGGCATCAGCATCATCTGCAGGCATCGAAAGGGGGGGGGTGTCCATGAAGCCGGTCGTGAAACTCATCTCCGGGCAGTCCTGAGAAACAGGCTCGGGAGCCACGGAGCGTTCTCGGATAGAGTGGACCTTGCGTTGTCGACGCTCACCCGAGCACAGCGAGGGATTTGCCACAGAAGCATGAGCAACTTGAACATGTTTCCGAGACCGGCTGCATAAAGTTCACGAAGATGATCCTGAACCCTTGCCGCTCCTTTAGAATACCACTGTTGCCGAGGTTAAGCTGTTCTTTCGCCAACAGCATGAAACCTGCACCTTATGCCGTGGATCCTCAACATTGCAGAACCACGTGCCATCCGCAGGCGGTTCCCGGGAGCGCGGCAACGTCTCCCAGCACGGAGGCCGGGAGCCCTTCCGCTCCCGCCTCGCTTTACACGGGGTATATGTTGAGGAAACTTTCGAGAAAAGTTTAGGCTTTGGGGTTTCTGTAGGTCTCTTGTGGGGTGGGCTTCTGACGTTTCCTCCGGAGTCTTCTGGAAGCTTGGCTTCAGTCCGGCTTCTACAAAGAGCCCCACTGCCGAATTCTATGGAGGTCTACGGATGTCTCTCCTGTGCTGATGCCACATGGCTTTCTAACTATCTCCCTGTCGAAACCTATGATTCTATGATTGAACTTCGTGGGCTGTACAGAGGGCTTCACCCTTCCGCACCTCAAAACGGTCCAGGAGCTCATCACCTGAAGCGCAGCACATGCGCGGGTCAAGCAGGAGGGCTTCTGAGCGAAGAACTACGATTTTTTCGGTTTTTCATCTGCCTGGAGAATGTAGCGCTGCTAAACTATTGTATGAAGAACCGTTTTGCAAGCGGCCGAGGACAGCCACTCGGCTCGCAGTTTCTGAGCTGAAACTGGGGATGGTGCGGACTTGCTCCAACTCACGGATGAGATGGTCCGGGCCCCTCGGTTTCAGAACTTATGCAGAAGCTGGGCTCTGAACAACACGTGGCGCTACCGACTCCACAAGGCTTACGTTCTCAGGGGACATGGCTCCTCCACCTACGGGTCACTATGAACCCACTGCAAGTCCTGCACTTCAGGGCCACACTAAGCTATCTAACCCAGGGTCCGAGAAGTGAGGGCCGAGCATCTCTTCGCAGGGGGTCTCGGCCTCTGGAGGTGTGTTATGTGCAGGTCATACCCGCGCCATCCTGTGCAGGTCACACCTTTTTGCCTTCGCCCCTTGTGAACCTCTTTTTGTAGCCGGACCCTTTTGAACCAGACGCCGTGCGTTGGTCCGGGTAGCGCCATCGTGTTCCCCCTTCAAATTGCAAGAGCTCCAGGACTGCCTAAGCGAACCCGCTTGGCGACAGCCCCCGTGAGCCGTCGCTTGCAGCAGATCGAGGCTAGGGTTTCAGATTGCTTCAGGCGTTGGAGCGTACAGGGTGGTGCGAACTTGTGCGACACTGAATTGCGACCCCAGATAACCGTTGTTCTTTCAGCATGGGGGCCTATATAGGACGGTTTCAGCCTTTCCCCTTCTTCAGCCCATCCTGAAAGATTGTCGGTAAGAATCAGAAGAGCCACTGCGTCGGCACTGAGCGATTTTCACAGGAGATCCTATTTTCATTGCTGGCACTCCCTCCGAGGTCGAGGCTGAACAAGCTGGCCTCTGAAAGGCATCGAGCCGCATGCAAGACCGTGCAAGCACAGTGCCGTCCAGCTCAGATTCTGCTCCATGTCACGTGCGTGCGAACGTCCGGCAGCTCCGGCGTGTTCCGATATTCGGGCACTGCCAACTGCCAAGGCTCCAACGGATCAGTGCTGGGCTGGTCGGGGGAGCTCTGGCTCTGCGCCTGGCGAAGAACAAAAAATGAGCTCCTGTTTTGGCAGCTCGCGCCTCCGGCCTCGCTGAGGGCGCGCCAGAAGCTCAGGAACTCAACATCACCTTGAGGCCGATGCTTCTCTGCTTTCGCCAAGCATGCATCCACGGATTAGGAGATGACAATACTCAACAGGCCGTGCTTTGTCCTTCCGCATGCACATACGCGCGCCTGTAGTGCCATTCTGCGGACCGGAGCAAATCGAGAGGGCCTTTCAGGAAGCTGTCGGCTCTAGTGGCATAAGCGGCTAAGTCCGCGAGTCCTACATCACTACACTAGTCTTGCGATACATTTGACACAGACCAGCCCCGTAGAAAAAGAGGCTATTGCAAGCCTCGATGAGCTTGGCAGGCCTAGATTCCTAGATGATTCCAAAACCTGTGCTGTCGATGGCTAAGGCCTGCTCGTAGCTGCCGTCGCCGAGGTGAAATTGGTCGGCAAGCTTTGGCAAACTGCGCAGGCATCGTCGCAAGCCCAAATTTCCATGTTAACTTCGGAAGCTCACATCTTACACCGCGAAGCTGCTCGCCTTGCACCCAGCTCTGGCGCAGGCCTGCCCACCAAAAAAACAGGCAACAAGATCAAAAAAGCAAGCAGCTTGATGGTTCTGTGCAGCCTTGCCCGGTGAAATCCATCGAATGCACACGCACACACATGCACAATCGGCCAGCAGCTCAGGAAAGCACGCGCTGGTTCCACTGGGCTGGATCTGCGACCACGCCTTCCCATTTGGACCCTTTTTTGGCCTCCCGCCCCCGTAAGCAACTTAGAACCGTCATATCTCCTCAGGATTCTGCCAAGATTCTGAATGCTTGATAATGCTTGTCCGTGTGCATGTGAGGAAGGTGTCAATTTTGCTTGTTGGCAGGAGTTTCTGGTGTCCTTCCTTCTCCATGTGCTTCCTCCTCTCTTCCACAGGGGATTTGTCAACAGAAAGGAGAAGAAACAGCGCAAGCCTCGAGAGCAGCCTCTGCTTGAAGCATCCGTGCGAGAACCTTCAGGATGCAAAAAAGCGTTCGCACCAGAGTCAAGACAGTCAAGAAGAACGAGTCATGATGCAATTGGATGCAATTGGATGCAATTGGCACAATCATGAACTGCATTGCCCATTGCGCTCTGAGAGCAGGGCGCAATCTTGGGCTCAGAGAGCACGGCGAATTCATGGAGTAAGAGAAGCTACGAAGCAGTACGTATGCGGTAAGACTGCCGTCTCCAATTTTGGGGCAGCGTTGCAGTTTGTGGATATTTTTGGATCTGAAAAGCTAAGATGATCTAAGGGCCAGTTCCCTTTTCTGCCTTTGCTTGCCTTGCTCGTCGGAGAGCTGCAGCCGACATCTTCCTACTCTCTGCCAGGAACGCTGTTGGAGAAGTTTTCGTAGCAGCATGGCTGGGGTCCAAACATCATTGCTCCATACTCCAAGCGACACACCGACAGGACTCGCTACGTCACGCGCGCAACCCTTTTTCGAAAGGGATTCCTCTAGCCAGCAAGGTGTTCGGCAGGTCTGTGTCAAAGAATGAATCAGCACCAAGCAACTCAAGTTCTAGTCCAGCCTTGAAGAGAAGACGACACTCGGATTTACAATTTCGGGAATGGTCACTTAGAGCAGCTTGGTTCTGTGCCTGGTAAGAGATCCCAGATTTGTATCGACGCTGTGAGGCCAAGCAATGGTCGTGAATTACATGCTGCACATGCCAGTCACGAAAACTCTGGGTGCTTCAGACCTCATCTCATAGCCATCGCATGCAGCGTGGAGCTGCCGAGGGTTCAAACACGTCAGAACGGTGGGTGCGAATGCATCCTAGCACTGAATGTCTGAGGACCTGAAGCGTGAGGCGGCAGGCATGTGATGCAGTGCAGGTCTTCGGCAAAGGAAAGAGCGCATGAACAGTGTATTTGGCACAGGGCCCCCAAGCACCGTCCTGCATTCCTCGTTGTTTGCAACAGCTGCCAGTAGCAGTCAGCGAAAACAGCGCCCTGGTAATTCTCGAAAGAAGCCATAAGCAAGATACCTACACTCTGCAAGGGGGATGCGGGAGCCTGTTCAAAGCACGCCTGGCCCATCCTCAGACCAACCTTCTGTCGCTCAGAAGGCTTGAAAGCATCTGACGGTGGCCACTCGAAAACCCGAACCACTTCATTACACTGGGCTGCAAGGGTGAAAGCCAGCCTGATCTGGCGAATGTCTCTGAGCGCAGCGTCCCACACAGCGCCGCAAAGCCAAAAAAAGAGCGAGCCGGTGTCAGATGACAGTTTGACTAAAAGATAAGCGAAGAAATAGCAGTAGCTCTCGCCTACTGAGTCTCCTCTGGCACCGGCTCCATGTGGCCCCTAAAAGAGCCACCATCTGTTCCAGCAGTGCACAGCGGCCGACAAAAGCGCCTGAACGCTGCCACGTCTTGGAGATGTAAGTGGGCAGAATAAATAAAGAGTAAAGAAAAGCGTATAACATTTCTGCAAGAACTGCCTCAACACGTGTCTCGAATGCCTGGCAGTTGGCTACGGCACCCAGTCGGCCGCTGCTCGGGCGAGTATATGTTGGAAGTCCATTGCCATGAGTTCAAGATTCGGCGATGCCCTTGTTGCCACTCCCCACAACGGTGGTCTGTGCACCAATCGTGCCAGGTTCCACAAGCGTCGCACCAATAGGCACAGAAACAGAAGCAGGTTGACCCGTGTCTTAGAGTTTACCCTTTTGACTGTCGCAATCCTCACCATCCCTAAAGCTTCCTGCTTCATGTGCCGGGCACTTGCCATCCGAATTTGTCAGCAGCATCTCTGCCAAACTAGGGCCAGGGTTTGCGTTGTTTTCATCTGGCTTCTGGGGAGGTCTGTGCGAAAGGTCTGGTCTCACAAGTGTGCACAAAATTCTACGGAAGCAGAGGTGCAGCTCTACACGTCCGCGCCAACTGTGAGATGGTCCTCATGAAGATCCCGCGCCGGACGGGATGGCCGGCCAGCAATGAATCCCACGGTCCTGAGCCTGGAACTCGCCACAAGGAAACAGCAGGAAGCAAGCCACACCAGGCCGCTTTCCATCTGTACGCCATAGAAGACGACATCACCCCGAACATCCCCCAACCCTTGTCCCAGGTAGCAAAAGAAACGTGAACTATCTACTTGGTGGTCTTTCTCGCATGACAAAAAGCGACAAAAAGTCTAGATTTTTTTAGCTGCAGGTCCCACACCTGTCGCGAATTGTCACACCTTGGCAATATTGATGCCTTTCTGAACCTCATGGGCTGTGCCCAAGCAGTCCAAAGGTGTGCGGATTTTTAGGGTTTTTTGGCAGGCTTCTTCTTCAACGTGCGGTCGAGGATCGCAGGATGAGGGCAGCAGCAGGGCCACAGACAACTTACACGAAACCAGAACATGACTCAACATTTTTCAGGTAACAAGAACCCCGAGCTTGCTGCCTACAACCTGCGAGCTAGCATGCCAACTTGTTCTGAAAAGGGCAAAGGCAGAGAATTATGAGGGTGATACCGGAATGGAAATGAACTAAGGTTGGTGCCCCTGTCATGAGACAAGAGCAAGCGGCCCATTCTGCATGACCGTTTGGTTCCCCACAGAGTGGTGAGGCGGCATGGGGTGATATTTAAAGGCTCACGCAAACGAATCCACGAGTTCATGAAGAGCAGAAGGGCAAGAAGGAAAACAGACCAAGTTGGCACAGGCCATCAAAAAATCAAGCGGATTCCGAAACCCCCTGGTAGACAAACCATGATCCGTGCGTCGGCGCCTGGAAACTTACACAGAAACTTTTCACTGCTCCCGGCTAACTTCCACAGTGTGCCACACGATCATGACTTGCCGACACACTTGCTCTAAAATTCTGTTGGCCATCTTTCTTTTCGTTTTTGGCACAGCGAATTGCCTGCATTTCCGGAATAAAAACATCTTTTTTGAGTTTGCTGGGCACTGCGACTGCGCGTTGTTGCCAGTCGGCCCGGGAAATTCCGTCACCTCATCACCTGAGCACACAGAGCTTGGCACCCCCCGTGAAGAATCAAGGATTCAAAGTGCTGTCAATCAGGCCCCCCGGCTTTTTTTAGGGTGTGAGCGGGACTCACTCAGTCGAGGTTTGTGCCTGCAAAGAGCAGCACACCCCGAACCCATCAAAAAAACATCAACCTAAACCCCCCAGGGTTGCCGGGGCATAGCACTCCCTGCCTGCAGCAGCACAGGGACAAAATTAATCGAGAACACGTTGCCCGGCACAGGGAGTTCCTGCAGAAGTTCCGCTTGGGGGAGGAAGGGTTTTCTTGTGGATCCTCAAGTCACTGGCTTCAGAAGCGGGGCCTCCGTCCCAATGTCGACTTAGTTCTGGGATGTATAACTGAAGGGATTCCAACTCCTAAGCACATTTCAGCCGGTTAATTCCCTGACCATGCCGGCAGATGCCTCCGAAAGGTTCCCTTCTCCGATTGCCAGGATTTCGCCTGAGACCACGAAGAGCATGTGAATGCAGCGACTGGGGACAGGTCAACCAAGCACACGACACAGCTCTTCCACCCTGGCCAGGCTCACAGGGCCTGCGGTTCAGCACCACAACTACTGAGCAGCGCCCTCAGAATCTCTGGCTCACTTCTGCGTCTCGAGGCCGCCACCCCCAAGTCGCAGTGGCTTCCGGCACAGGTTGCGCCGAAACCTCGGCCGGGCCACCACGGCCACCAGGCCTGAACCTTTGCAACCAGATGCTAAGGGCACAACTGCTCCAGGAGTATCGCGGGGCCTGGCCAAACGCGCTCTGACTCTTGCCCGCTGTCTACTTGCATTCCTGCATGGCGCTGACTTCCGAGGACTGGATAAGGTCTCTAAAAGATGTTCCCCCTTATGCTGACAGTCCTTCATTGGGATCATGGTGCCTCTCAATATCGTCCCGATGAAGGACTCCTACGATAAGGGGAAACATCTCAACCTGAACCTTTTCATCAGCCAGACTGGGCCCCCGCGCTGATGGGGAGTTCCGTGTTCGGCCCCTCTGGGGCAGCAGAAACGAGGCCCCCAACATCCTGCCTGGCAGTGGGGGGGAGGGGATAACAAAAAGATTTGTTCGTTAGATATTCTGAAGTGGACTAGTTCGTTGGACCCAGAATAGCAAAGAGAACATCCCACAAGCCAGGGAACTCCCCAAGAAAAGAGTATTGCATGAGGTTCGCTCCTGCTTCTTCACGTATGCTTTATCCACAGCATATGGAACACGCCGTTGCTGCTTGCCTTGGCCCTTACACTGCGATCGCAAGAACTGGAACCCAGATGGACCCGACGGTCTAGAACAAAACGCGCGTGACACCGCAAACCCCATGGCACCCTCTGAAGGCCCAAATGAAAGTGGCCCGGGAGACCCCGAGGAGGCAGGGCCAAATCGCACACGCAGCGGGAAGTGCGCGGACCTCAGTGCGCTGGTCTTCGGGGGTTCGTACTTCGGATCTCTGAGCGGTTGAAGGGCGGGTATGCCAGAGGAAGGCTATACGTGTTCTGGTTGTGGTCTTCATGTAGTATACTGTATACTGTGTACTCCTTGCATCTTTCGGAACAATAACCCGACCAACCCCACCGACCAAACCCACATCGATTGACGGCGGCTTCCTGGCACAACGTGCCGGTTGGTGCCCCTCTCGCAACGAACGCCCTGTCCTCGGACCCTTCTGTTTTTCCAACGAGAGACTCAGCTCCGACTCTGCAAGCTGACAATTACTTGGCGCCGCACACTCCAGCTTGGCATCCTGAAAAAAGCTCTTGCCTCAGGTTAGCACGCTGAGCTTCATGACACCTCCACTATGTATGACAACACATGCCGCCTGCTACAACATCCTGTTGCAAACGACATGATGGGCTATACAGTAAGTGGCTAACACTGCAAATGCATCTTCACTGTACATGCTGTCCCCTTTTGGTCAGCAACCTTGATAACGGGTTATGCTTTCTGTGACCCGCTTAGCTTGACTTGCATCACGACATGCGGCACTGGCCCAAGATTGCGACCCAGACTCATGGTTACTTTAAGGCTCGGAGTCTAAGAGGCCGTAGTTTTTCCCGCCCCTCGCTGAACTGCATCTCTCAAATTGTGCTGAGCAGGCAAGGCACGCTGGCATCCGATAAGCAGGCCCCCGTTTTGTCGCAAATGCGCATGTTGCAGACATAAATCCCCTTGTGCCGAAGAAGGGTGCCATAAGTACATTCATTAAATTTCTTGCAAGCCAGAGAGCTTGTGAGTCGCGTGACGTCGGCGGAAATATTCACGCGCACGACAACTCTTGCTGGTGTAGCTGGCAGACATCAAGCACTGGGCAGGTTGTCCGGCTGGAACAAAGACCAAAAACGATGTGTGATACCACGGCTTCCACTGCCGCGCGGACATGTCTTGCTAGCTGCTTGCCTCGGGTTCCCACCCGAGCTTTGCTCGAGTGAGACGGATTGGAAGACATCAAGCAGCGGGAAGGTTTGCTAAAACTACGTAATGCTTTCCAAGGTGTGACACCGGCGATGTGTGATGGAGCGGATTTTTCTGCCGCCCGCAACATGTTGCTGGCCCGAGCAAGAGACCGAAGCCAAATATTACGTAACAGACCCTACACCCTATCTTGCACGAGTAAATCGCAACGGTCGTGCATTCCACGATGTGGCCGACCAGTCGCAGGTCTCTTGCCCAGCCACACAACAATTAAAAACCTACTACACGTTGGTGACTTGCGTGATGTCGGCAGCATTGATTCCTGCCGAGCTTCAAGATGTGGAGATTTCTCGTCTTTCATGTGCTAGGTTTGCCCGAGCACGCACACCACCAAACAAGGCCCCCTCAATTGAGGAACCAGGAACTGACCCATACTGATGTCTTCTTGCAAACCTCGTCTCGTCAGTGTTGTCCGACTTGCCGCTATGCCACTTCTCGCGCAACGATTGCAAGCATTGCGTCATGAGCACACAGTTGTAGATCACGTTCAGCACAGAAGCAGCTCAAGATGCTATCCACAAGCCAAGTGTCCCAAAGTCAGCCTGATATGCCAGTTTCCAGGCGCCAGGCAGCTGCACCACCCACTGAAATATGAGGAGGCCCAACGATACGGATCCTTGTCGCCCTAATGCGGCGAAAACACCACCATACAAGCTGTTCACGCCATCAGCCAAGATCTGTAGCAGCAAACAGGGAAGCGCACGCAGGAAAGCCGCGTGGGTCACGGATTCATGGCCCAGCAGTCCTAAGGCCAGCTGACCACGCCCGAGCCAGCAGCACACGCCAATCATCCCGCACATGGCGATCGTCAGCTTGGTGCGTGACTGCAACACGCTGGAAACCTCGACCACGTCCTCCCGACCAATAGCAGCTCCCACCACAGCTGTGGCAGCTTTGGAAGTGCCTCGAGCCAGCAGGAAGGTCCAATTTGAAACGTTCACAACAGCCACATGTGCGGCCAGCTCAGCCTGACTCTGTAACCCTCCAGCAAGGAGAGTCAAGAACTCAAAGGCCCACCATTCAAAACCAATCCTGGCCACGCTCGGCACACCGACTGCAGCGTAGGAGGAAAGTCCTTTCCAGGTTCCACCAGCCAGCACAGCTGGGCGTAGGATGCAACCAGCTCATGTAGCCTGCCAACAACAAAAACGATACTCCCGACTTCGCAGAGAAGGCGACGCCCAGGGAGACCAGGGGATCCAAGGAAGACCACTCGAGAAGCAGAACGCACACACCCAAATGGCATGGAACAGCAACACACAGTACCCACAAAGCTGGCGACGAGACCTGCTGATTCAGCAGGAACTTTCTCAAGGAGTCATACTGGAACAGGAAGCAAATGCCAGGCACGCTTGCAAGCACGTACTTGGGAGTATCTGCCGCGATCTGCTCGTTTGCACAGCCGATCCAGAGAAGGAGGGCCTCTGTGTGCAAGAGAAGCATGGAGCAGGCAGCAGCCAGCAGCATCCAAACCTGGCATCCTCGGCACCGTAGGCTTGCGAAACCAGGGTGTCTTGGGCACCCAGCCTACTGCGAAGACGTGGCAAAAACACGCCAGCACAGAATCGCCGAGCCCAACGGCGCCAACTCTCCTGATCGCCTGCGGCGTGTCTGGATTGCCCATATGCGCAGCTGCCCAGAGCGGTACCACTGTGGCCACTCCTTCCAGGGCATAGGCTGCTATGACTGGACCGGCCACTTGGAAGAGTCGCCTCAAGATCTGGCACGTCACTGCTGCGGTACTGGCCATGGCGCAGCGGTTGGAGACTGTCAGGCGTCAGGGAAGTACGCCGTTGGAAGAAAGTTGCCAATCTGGTACTGCGGGTTCGACGCGGCCGACGGGACAACTATCAAACATCAACGTCAAAGGGGCATCGGTATGGGGTGGCATGTGCTCTCCTCTCATGCGACTGAGCTCCTGGCGTCGGAAGGCCAGACGTTTCCAACTCCGTACTGTCTAGGTAGACCAAGACGGATCCTGAGAGCTGAGCGCCTCCTTTACGGGCTCTGACGACCCGGGTGCTCTTGAAAGTTGCGGAAACATGAAGGTACTTTAAGAAAAAAGAGGAATGTGAAAGCAGTCAAAGACAGGGCGGCCCCAAGGAGTGATACAGCACTGTGAGGTCTGAACCATGGGCGTCCGTGATGGACAGGCTGAAACCCACGAGCTCTTCCTGATAAAAAAAGCTTGATGCAGCCTAACCCTAAAGTTCCTAACGTGCCAAGCATGGCACAGTTGAAGCCTCAAACATACAGGCACACCCCTTTGCGGCTCTGAAGCCCAGCAGCTTAGGAGCTGGCCTGCGGGATGTCGGCATCCTCTATGTCACCCAGGGCCTGACACGTCCCAAGCTGCGGGGTTGTGCATTGGGCCCGTTTGGCACTTGGGAAACTAACTCATAAGTAAGCAAGCTGTGGAACCCAATGTACGCATCTCCGGGCACAACCTGGACATTAAACAGATGCTTCCAAGCCTACAAGTACAAGGTAACTGTCGTCTTGGGTTTCTGCAAGCACTCACTGCAGCAGCAGGCTTCACGCTGGTTGAACCAGCCAAGCAAACCCCCACCCCTGCATCAAAGAGGGCAACCTCAGGCCGCCCAGGAGCGAGATCCCAGGCCATCTCTGAAACTTCTATCACTACCCGACCCATTTCATCCAGAGGGCCGGGCACGTGTTGCAGTGCAGGCGCACGTGTCTCGTGCGCTCAGTCATGACCGGGGGTTTGGGGCGAGGATTCTACAGATCGTGCGTAGCGACGCCTGTTTTCCCAGGCAAAAGGGCCCCCAGGCGAAAGGTCCCCCAAGTCAAGTCATTTTTGCCTCAAGACATAAGGTTGTAAACAAAGACTCCCGCAAGCTCCAAGGAGCGGGGCCCTTCGAGTCGGGCGTGACCCGTAGAGGATGCCCGTAACCCACTGCGCCTGCTCCAGCTTCTTGTCGAAGACTTCCAACCAGTCGCCAGAGTATGCAAGCCTAAACGAGGCTGTTCCCCTTGCTTGGAACCTCATGGTACTACACTTAGGCTGCTTAGCCCGGGTACCCCGGTCGCAGCTGGAGCGTCTCAGAGGGCGCAGTCATGACTGGGCCAGTGGCTCAAACTGAACGCCAGACGTTCGGACACGATCCTGGCAGCCATCAGCACCCGCCGCTTGAATTTGACAAGCTGGCACAGGGAAACATCCTAACAGGTGGGGGTGCTCAATCCCGACAGTAGAAACTTTTTTTTGCAACTGTACCCTGAAAAGAGCCAGGAAACCAGTATGCCCCCCCTAAACCTTCCTGTTCGACCAAACCCTCCATGACGACATCGGAAGTGTCTTGGAGGGCACACATCGGCACCTCTGCTCTCTTTGAAGAAGTCAGAGAAGGCTCTTCCGGCCCCTGGATGCATCGGGCCACGGGCCTCGGCCAACTTTGGGAATTTCCTTTGAGCAAAACTCGCCCGTCCCGCCACCGCGCTCCTCCCTGCAAAAGGGCCCTAGGAGTCTAAGACGGGTGTTAACAGCCACCCAGAACATTTCTGGAGGCACAGAAACTGGTCTGAGGCGGGTGCCAGAGCAGGAATCAGAACATCTCTTAACAAGCATCTGAAGACATTGCAACTACGAAGATGTCCTGGGCCACACGCGTCGGTACGCGAGCAGGGCACCTTTGCTACGTGTCAGATGCCCTCCCTCCCACGAGCCTCTAGCGCCTGGCCGAAACCAGAAAAAATGAGAGGAGCGCGTGGATTCATCACACTGAGCCTGATAGAAGACAGAAGTGGCAAGGTCATCTGCAGCTCAAAAGCCACCCGCTGTGAATGATCGATTGTCGATGGAGGCCTGGCCTCTGCTTGACTGCTGCCCTCGCTTCGCCGGTGGCGACAGCGGGCAGGCGTCGCTTCAGCCTGCCCAGGTGCGGGAGGGCTTGAGAATCAGTATGACATGATCTGACAGCTCAAAACCCACCAGAACATACAAGAACGTGAGATGCTGCAGTGGACACGCTGCGGCGGAAAGGGCAGGCTCTTTTGCTCGGCAAAGCATGCGGCAAGCAATACTCGAGTTTGAGGAATATTGGCAGGCGTCGAACGGCTAGATCCGGCAAAGACTATCCATTCAAACGTGCGCATGGCAAGAATCACACCAGCCACTAGCCGCCCACTCTTGTACGCCATGCCCTATCGGCTAGAGTCTAGAATCAAATGTCAGACCTCGCTCCAGGCCGGTGCGAACTGCTTGGATCAGGCAGGTACGGTCAGCCAAAGCAGTCCCTATAAGGTAGCATTACTGCGCGCATGGATGTCCATGTGCAGTGTTCTGCTGTCCTTCTCGCTTCAGCTGGGGGCAGTACTGGCTTCCTGCATGTTGGGGACTGCAGGTACAACGTGGATGCGGCTTCTAGCAGCCGCTATCACCAATGCAGAGAATGCGCAAGCGCCAATTACGTCGGAGTCGTCCAATTTCGTGCACCATGTACAGCCATGCAAATCAGTCCGAGGTTCGTCTCGAACTAATTCTTTAACGACGAGTTCCAAATGCTGACAGAGGCCATGCACACACAAACATACTTTTACAGTTTGTGAGAATCTAACCAGAGACTGATTCGCAACCTCTTTCGCCAAGCATCTGGAATGCCTCCCGCCAAAAAACTAAGGTCAGCTCTGCGCTGCCAGGATGAAAAACAGCCTGTGCCAACTTGCTGGACTTAGCCCCACATGGATTCTGAATGATTCTGGTAAACTTGAAGTGCAAGGATTCCCCACACTGACCCGTGCACACAGTTTGCTTGAACGTGGGCGGGACCACACGGTTAGCATGGCCCAGCAATGCCTTGCAGTGTCCCAACCTGCCTTCGAATGCGCGAATTCCAGCACGCCGCCTAGTGTTGCCTCACCAGCCTGAATTCCAGTGTTCAGTCAAATTAGCTTCGCTCCATCCGGCCCTAACCGTGCTAAGCTGAAAGCGTCCCTGGCGGTCCGGAAAATAGCTCCAGATGTCCTACAAGTTTTGGTCCGACGGGTCGAGATCTTTACAGCTTAAGGCTCAAGGCATACGAACAGCCCAACAGAGTTGCACAGAACAGCGCAGGCCCTGGCCTGAGAGAAGTAGGAGGATTGGAATGGGTCTTGCGACTGCGCCGAATAGGACTGTCGCACGGAGGACCTGCGCATACTCTGCGCATGAAGCCGCCTCTTTGTGGGTGCCGCTCCCTCCGGCTCCAGGATGCTTCTTGAGGTCTGGGCAGTTGCTCTTCGTGCGGCTGCACTCCAAACAGCTGGACTGGCGACGCCTCCCAAGCGGCCCCATAGCGAGAACAGAGGACTGGGTTCCAAGGTCGTGTAAGTGCAACAACCAACCCGTGAGAACCATCAGGGCTTTCTCAGCCATCACCCGCCATCCCGTACCTGATCTCCTGCTGCTTCTGCTGACAGCAGCATTGAAGCCTGAGCTCGCTTGCGTGGAAACTTTCGGCCCGCAGTATCTGAACAAAACGACAGGGACCCAGGGAGAAAAGCGAGAGAGAGCACAGATCTGAGAGATCTGGGCCCGCAGCCGGTGATAAAGGCATCTGTCCAGGTGCCGGCTGCCCGTCAGGCGACTTGGGTCGGGCACTCTGGCTGCACATGCTGCGAGTCGGAAGTCGGATCTGCTACTCAGTACTAGTACGACTGCCAGTCGGGTGCACAATGCCCGCGAAGCGACTATGGCCAGCTTAAGGACTGGGCCATGCTGCTTCGGGTTGGCGTCGGCAGCAGCTGTGTAAGCTGGACAGGACCAAAGGGGTGCAAAACAAAAAGAAAGGCTTCTAAAGGCTCTCAGCAAGGCCTGATCGCGGGACTGCGGCTCCATGGGAGAAATCATGGACGCCTTGAGCAGCTATTGAATAAACCATGCAAAGGCGGATGAGCCCGACCAAAAGACTCTTGATCAAAACGTGCGTAACGGAAGCTCGAGAAACTGGATTGAGGCCCATGCAAGGCTTGGAACTGCATGTCCGAAAGGTTGCCTCACGTCCTGACGTCTGCTTCTCTGAACTTGTGATCCCCGGATTCGCGGTCTCCCCGGCTTTGCGGCGGCAACCCTATCAAAACAGCTCTGCCTCAAGCATGAGCAACAAGTGCGTGATCGGCTACGATGTGGGTCGGATCGTGTTTTCGGTCCTGGTCATGCTTGCCATCTGCGTGCCCCACTAGGCCGACCTTGCAATGTTGGGACACTTTTCGGTTTTTTGTTGTGGGGGGGGGAACTGATGGCATGCGAAATGGGCCAGAAAAACCCTTATATAGTTGCTTGAGCAGCTCGCTCGAGAGACTTCCCAAGATTCTGGCCGGGCTGGGCATGGGGGCAACAGGTGACGGAGACGGTTGTGCAGCCTGTAGCATCTCTCCCTACTCCCGTCTGTTACTCTGTAAATCGGCTGGCCTGATCGTTGTTCACAAAGCGATCGCCCTTGTACCCACCCACCTGGAACATGCAAATGCTGCGTGCACATGCGGCATGCCTCGAATCAGAAACCTGCTTCTGCTTCGACGTGACATTTGCAACCCTTGCCAGAGTGCCCTGCACGTGCAAGGAACACCCAAGCGAGCAAGTGACGGAAACAGTGGGGAGCCTCGCCGAGCGTGTCCAGTGGGGCCAGAAGTGTGGCCTCAGCGTGCTACTCTCCTTTCAAAAACCCAACCATGAGGACCTTGCAGGTGTACCAGAACCAGGTGACTTGTTGCTGCGGTCTCTGTACATCTCTGTACCTAGCCCCCACACGCGCTCACACAGAACAGGGACTTCACATACATATAGGTCACCCCCCCCCCCCCAATGGACCCACCGCGGGCCTTGATCTTTGCAAAAGTACCGCAAATACCGATAAAACCTATGCGGGGGGGGGGTGAGCGTGTGTGTGTGTGTGTGTGTGTGTGTGTGTGTGTGTGGTGTGTGTGTGGTGTGTGTGTGGTGTGTGTGTGGTGTGTGTGTGGTGTGTGTGTGGTGTGTGTGGTGTGTGTGTGGTGTGTGTGTGGTGTGTGTGTGGTGTGTGTGTGGTGTGTGTGGGGTGTGTGTGTGGTGTGTGTGTGTGGTGTGCGTGTGGTGTGCGTGTGGTGTGCGTGTGGTGTGCGTGTGGTGTGCGTGTGGTGTGCGTGTGGTGGTTGTGTGTGGTGGTTTGTGTGGGGTGTGTGTGTGGTGTGTTTGTTGGGTGTGTGGTGGGTGTGTGTTTGTGTGTGTGGTGTGTGTGTGGGTGGTGGGTGTGTGTGTGTGGTGTGTGTGGTGTGTTGTGTGGTGTGTGTGTGGTGGTGTGTGTGTGTGGTGTGTGTGTGGTGTGTTGTGGTGTGGGGGTGTGTGTGGTTGTGTGTGTGGTGTGTGGTGTGGTGTGTGTGTGGTGTGGGTGTGTGTGTGTTGGTGTGTGTGTGTGGTGGTGTGTGTGGTGTGGTGTGTGTGGTGTTGGGTGTGTGGTGGTGTGTGTGTGGTGTGTGTTGTTGGTGGTTTGTGTGTGGTGTGTGTGTGTGTGGTGTGGGGGGTGTGGGGTGTGGTGTGTGTGGT